TAGCTACATAATAGGTATGTGGCTTTTAAAGATTTTCCAGAAATGGTATTATATGATCATGTATTACGTTATAAAATACGCCTAGAATCATAAAGTAATTATTGACCTTATTTGGAAGGTTGTGAATATAAATGAGCTCTGGTCTGATGCAGCTCTCTCTCTCTCTCTCTCACACACACACACACACACACACACACACACACACACACACACACACAAACACCACACACACACACAAACAGCAGGGTGTACTCCGAAACAAACATGTGCAAAATATACATACTTCATTTGTCAAAAAAAATATTTTAACAAACAGACTAGATGCTCTGATCTTTTTAAATTAAGTGGTGGAGAGGTCAGGTCCTGATAAGGTAAAATGTGACCTAAATTATATGCAAAACTTGTCAATGTGCTAAAGAATAGCCCCATGAACTATGCAATCCGTGCTTTGATTGGCCTGTTTTTCACAGGGGTTTTACTCTCACAGAATTTACATGAGAACGAGAAAACAATGGTGTTTAAGGCTCTAGGCCTGTCAAAATAATCATTACATTGACTTATCGCACAGTACATGGACATGACCTCAATCATTTTTGGTGATGCGATATATATCGCCCATACATAAAAAACAGTTCTAGCAACATTTTAGTTGATTGTGCAACATCTCTTCCTCCATTGAAGGTGTCAGTGTCAGTATGGTAAACTAGTGTTTTACTATAATTTACTTATATAATATATATAATATATAATAATATATATATATAATATATTTTGATGCGGGTGTCTGACAACTGAGAAAAGATCTGGTACCAGATACCGCAGCCTCTGTTACTTTATTATTTTTTTGTTAACATTTAATACTACTTATTTAAGATATGATATATTTAGAATTATTTTCACATTCTGATACCAATGACTAATTAATAAATTTTTAAAAATAATAACTGTAATTATAATAAATATCCATAAGAATAAAATATTATTATAGTGTTCTTTTTTAAGAGTGTACTTATATTATGATCATATTATATTATAATTCAGGTATAAACTGGTCTTAAAATAGCAATAATATTGATTATCGCAATATATTTTGGTGTAATATATCGTACACCAAAAATATATATCGAGACAGGCCTATGAGATGCACGATATGGCCATTTCCATGTACTGAACTTTTATTATTTATCTATGCATATGCCAGATTTTATTTATAAGGCACCTTTAACCCTACTAAAATGTCTCACAAACACACACACGCACACGCACACACTCTCACACACACACACACACACAAATGTATTTTTGTTAATTGTGGGGACATTCCATAGTGTTTCATTGTATTGATATTGTTGCTTTTATGTTGTTGTCATTATTGTTTACTTTGTGTTTACATTATTTTTACATTCTTTTCTATTGCCCTACCCCAATCATATTTTATACTCAACCTTCCCATGAATGTTTCTGCAATACTGAAAACTTTCTGAAATAACTCATTCTGCATGATTTTTTCAGCATTTTGAGAAACAGGGACATCAGCAATGTCTTCATAATTTACCATATCCTTGTAATACATGTAATAACCATGTCACAAAATACTCCAAACAAAAATAATTTAAAAAAAAAATTAAACCTGACTTCACTCAACAAACAAATTTTTGTGCTAAAATTGTATGTAAATTTGTGCATATTTAATGAAAATGGCTCTATTGCATATTTAAACACATAATTATAGAAAAGTTCTAATATATATATATATATATATATATATATATATATATATATTAATATATATATATATATTACTGACCAATCAACCTTTTGGTGGATTTGTGACATCAGCAAGTCAAAGTCAAGTCAGTCAGCTTTATTGTCAATTCAACCACATACAGGACATACAGAGAATCGAAATTGCATTACTCTTAGACCCTAGCTACCCTAGACCCTACTCTCAGTGCCTAACAGACGATAGTAATATAAAAATTTGTATTTCAAAAAGCAATTGCTATAAATACTATAACAGATATAATATAATCTAAAATTATAAGTAAAAAAAAACTAGTAAACAATAAAATTACACTTAAGGGCACATGGCAAGGAGTGTTTTTTTTTGGACAGCTGAAACTTTAAAGGTAAAATATTTGAAAGGTAAGAACAGTTATCTTCAGCTTGTTCATAGCTGGTCATACAAATATATGAGTGTCTTGTGTAAATGACAGGAGATTGCGTGTTTGATTAGTAAATTGTGCAGAGAATGTCAGGAACTCACAACAAAAGTTGAGATCAAACAGAAAAAAACAAGCTATCAAGCAGGAGCAGATACTTTAAGCCTTTTAAACGTTAAGAATGGCCTCTCGCTCTTTGAAGCCGGTCATTGTGGATGCCAGAGATGTCACGTCAATTAAACTGCAGTTAAAAAGTTTGGGCTTAAGCTAGTTGGAGCCATGTGATTTTCTCTGAAAGCTCTATTATGCAAACTCAGCATTGCATCACTTGTTTAGTTGTGCTGTGACCATCTGAACTGTTTCAAAGGTTAATTGATACATATTGAATACAACATTTGTATTTATTTATATTTTTAACATTTAAAATCTTATTTTAATAATTTGTGCAATCTTTAAGCTTTATATTGATTCATTTTATTCATTTTATTCATTCGGCTTAGTCCCTTTATTAATCAGGGTTCACCACAGCGAAATGCCAACTTATCCAGTATGTTTTACACAGCGGATGCCCTTCCAGCTGCAACTCCTTACTGGGAAACACCAATGCACACTCATTCTCATACATACACTACGGTCAATTTAGTTTATTTAATTCACTTATATAGCACATGTCTTTGGACTGTGGAAACCGGAGCACCCGGAGAAAGCCCACATGAACATGGGGAGAACATTCAAACTACACCCAGAAATGCCAACAGAAAGGCGACAGTGCTAACCACTGAGCCATCGTGTCGCCCATGAGCTTTATATTTATATTATATAAAAAATGTAACAATATATAACATGTAACAAATTATATTTGTATGCATATAATTCGTATTTATATGTAAAATAATAAAAAACTTATCTGCTGATTGTTTATGAACTAACAATAATTCATATCATAGTTAACTAAATAATGTTACCTATTGAACTTTACTGTAAAATGTTACCAACATACGTCCCCAGCTTTAATCACTGGCCCTAAATACACTGTACAAAAATAACTGAAAATTAGCACTTTTTCTTTTTTTTAAGTGTTTAAAATCGAGTTATGGGTTCTTGATCTTTCATCCAACAACTTTCGAAATTATAAAGGTTGAAAAGGTGACTTTAATTTATATTTTTAATAGTTTGAAGTGCTATATTGTCTAGATTGGTGTTGTAAACTGCCAGTACATTTCTGTTGTGTTTTAAATATATTATTTCTTATACGATATATAATTTTAAACTACTAAAATAGCAATAAAAGTGAATTTCTTAGACTGTAGTGTTGAATTTTCAACATCAGAATTTGACAGAGTGGAGATCAAGATCACATAATGCAATGAATAACCATAAACAAACAGAAAACACCTGCTATGAAGCACAAAAAAATACTGTTATTGGACAGTTATTTACAGTGTCATGTACGTGTTAACAATTAAAATGTATATAATTATGTCATAATTGCTTGCCAAATTCTGCTTACCGATATTTGATCAGTTTTGGGTAAGTTACTTTAAAAAAATAATGAATTAATAATTACATTATCAGACTTGTTTGAAATTACTTTTCTAATTAATTTGTATGAAATATAACTTTAATTGCTCAATAAGTTATGGATTTAATTGACTCAATGCAACAAAAACCATATAAACGTCAATGCATAACTTTTAATTCTTTGAATTTGAGCCAAGCAGGACATTTTAGTTTTATTTAAAAAATGTTAAGCAATACAGTGCTCAGCAGATTTGATTACACCCCTCACAAATCTATTTTTTAAATTCATATTTTTTAATAGGAAGCTATACAATATTATATTTGTGCACACACATTAGATTAGTCAGTACTGAAGCCAAATCTGGAGCTTATCTAACAAAATAACTTACGATAACGGTCCAAAAACTAGAGCACGCAAATGTATATGTTATAGAAAAATAATAAATACAAATTTAAAAAAAAAAGAGGAAAAATCAAGAGAAGCAAAAAAATGGAAATTAGTCGAAATTTTGTAAGTTGTCATTTTTGTTTGCTATATTTTGCTTGAATTTAACTGTATTATCTTTCTAAATATGTTTGGTGACAAAAATATTATTTTAATAAATATATATGTTTAATAAATCTGTTTTGTTTAAATGCACCAAAATACATTTCCTATATTCACTGAGAGATGAATAATAATATTCATTTTCAAAATGGAGTGTACTTAATTATGCTGAGCACTCCATATTGTTACACCTGGCTCAAAGATGTAACAATAAAGGAGATGACACGGCGAAATAAAGTCAAACATGATATTTATTCTAACACATATGAAAATAACATAATTAAAACATCAGTATCAGCAGGTTTAATCAGTGTGAAATGCAAGTGAATGGATGCGGTAAGTGTTGTCACTGTTAGTGCGTGGATCTAAAACAAAACATAATGCTATAACATAATGGGCATAACTGACCAAACAATCAAAAAACTGCGGTCTAGACGAACTCTTGCAATGCAATGCAACCTAAATAAGGGCGATGATGATCCCAACCAATTACAGACCAAACCAAAACAAAGCAGTCCTAACATATATATATATATATACATCAAAACTCAAATCATTTCAAATGAATCACACCATATTTCACACACACCATATATTGACAAATTTCTTATTGGCTTTTTTTTCATTCAAAAATATTATTAACTGTTATAAAATACCTAAAAAGCAATGCCTTTCTTTACTTTTTTTTTTACCAGAAAAGTGATTTAATTACAGTAACGAGTTATATTTTAACTAATTACACTTAACACTGTTTATGATCTTCCTGACAGGACTGGAATACATCAAGCAGAAGTTCAGTGAGCCGGTGGAGGAGATTAAAGAAGAAGCACCCAAAGAAGAGGAGAAGAAGTCTTCAGGTAGCCCTTTCTACAGGCGCGGGACGACTCCGAGCCACTCTCCAGCCCAAAGCCCGACCCCATCCCCTCCCCGCACCTCTCAGAAAAGCCAAGCGCAGAACCCCAGCATTAGCCGCAAGATCAGCAAAGACAACAGCGTCACGGCCCGCAAGATCAGCAGAGACAGCACTTCTGTAGCCCGCAAGATCAGCAAAGAAGAGAGAGCCTCCATTGTGGCCGAAATCACCAAAGTATCCGTACCTCCTCCTCCTCTTCCTCCTCCTCCTCCTCCTGCAGTTCAGACTATCAAGCTGCAGGATGTCCCACCTCCAAAGCCTCCTAAAGCACTTGAACCCGTGGCCAAACCTGCGGGCACAGGTAACGGGCAGCTTCATACTGCCTATCACAGTTATTATGTGAAGCCGGTGAAGCAGTTGCCACCGCCAGAGGAGCCCGAAGATGAGGAGCCTGAAATCACACAGTCCAGTCTGGCCAGGATGCCTCCACCTCCCAAAACGCTCAACACACCCACTCCCAAACCAGAGGTCAAGATCAGGAAACAAGAGTCTATTAAACCAAAGAGCTTAGCTGAAACCAAGAAGGCCAGCTTGGACCTGGTTGAAGAAGCAACGGTGGAAGAATCTGTAAGTTCTTAAGTTATTCTGACACTCATTAATGCACACAGGTCCATTTGAATGGAATGCAACATCATAAGACGTTGATATTTAGGTCGTAACATCAGGTGACCAATATTCAATGTCTAGCCTGCAACGTCCAATTGATATTTTGATATTTGTAATGTAATGTAATGTGTATTTATATAGCGCACTTATCGCATATGGCCATACACCCAAATCGCTTTACAATCATGAGGGTCTCTTCACACCACCACCAGTGTGCAGCATCCACTTGGATGATGCAACGGCAGCCACAAAACAATGGCGCCCGTGCGATCACCACACACCAGCTATAGGGGGAGTGGATATACTAAGGTAGAGCCAATTTGGTGGATGGGGATGATTGGAAGGCCATGATGGTAAGAGCCATTGGATGGAATTTGGCCAGGACACAGGGGTTAAACCCCTACTGTTTACGAGAAGTGCCATGGGATTTTTAATGGCCACAGAGAGTCACAAACTCGGTTTAACATGTCATCCAAAAGACATACATCACTGACAGTATAGTGTCCCCTTCACTTTACTGGGGCATTAGGACTCACATAGACTGCAAGTTGAGCGCCGCCTGCTGGTCTCACTAACACCACTTCCGACAGCAAACTAGTTTTTCTATGTGGTCTCCCATCAAGGTACTGACCAGGCTCAGCCCTGCTTAGCTTCAGTGAATAACCACTCTTGGGCTGCAGGGTGATATGGCTGTGGCTTTGGTTGATTATTGGTTGTGTTGGAAAGGGACCAAAATCCAATGTCTGATAGTCGTCATGGTGGTAACGTCCACACAACGTCAAGTTGTAACATGATTAGACGTTGGTATTTGGTTGATTTTAGGTTGGTAAGTCGGACATTGACGTCGGCCTGACATTTGATTCAGACGTCAACCTGATTTACATTTCCAACTAAGATCCAACATCCCCACGAGGTTGGGATATATTAGGGTACGTCAATATGACATCATGTTGATGTCCTGTGCCTGCAGGGAAGACACATAGATCTAGCATATCAATGTTAATTTTGACAGCAATTTTTGATTTAGTTTTAGTCTTAGTCTTTTGACTAAAATTACATTTTAGTTTTAGTCATATTTTAGTCTTTTGAATCGTTTTAGTTTCAGTTGACTAAATTTCATACGATTTTAGTCGACTAAATCTACTCGAGAAAATATGGAATATAGATTTTCCATTGAAGACCAAAAATTAGATATGCATTGTTTATTTACAAGTAAATGTTGACAATCAATCCCCTTGTAAGAACAGCAGCCTACTGAAAATGCCGGACTGTGCAATTATTTAGCAAAGTATTTATCATGGTAAACTACTAGTCTTTTTAACCAGTCTGTTGAACAGTTTGCTTAAAACAGAGTTTAAAATAATCCACTCTCCAATGTCTGTATAGCAAGCTTTACTGTTGTAGTTGGTGTTGCAGTAGATGCAGGTGCTCAGCTGTATACTGTAGCGCTGAGTGAATAAGTAATGACATGTGACTGGCAAATGATAATGTGTTATCTTGTAAAATATGCACTCAGTCCCATGGCTGTGTTAACCCATAGAGGAATTCTAAAGCAAAGATGTACCTCAAAAATACATGTTCGCTTCACTTGAAGGCAGTTTCATCCTGAACAAAGCAGTTTTTGTTTTGTGGTAGAGGTATAATGTAAAAGGGTGTTGTCATGACGATCAATGCAGATGCAGACAGCGCATGAATCTAGCGCGAGTTAGCAGGTTAGCTAAACTGTAGCCACAGCCCAAATAAAACATGCGAGAAAACAACACTTAGTGAAAATGAATGCAACAATCATATGAATTTAATAATGACCAATTTAATAATTATTTTAATGTACAATCTAACTGTGTGAATTCTCTAAAGGTCAACGAGAGGCTACACCATTTCAGTTAAGCAAAAGCACAAAAATAGGTCAATAAAAAAGATCAGAGTTTAATCAGACTTTGCTGAATTTCGGGATGATTTCCTAGCATGCATATGTCACTTTGTTTTTATCAGCTAATTTCTGCCCATACGGTTTACAGTCTTTGACAAAATGTGCATCTGAATAAAACACAAAACAAAGTAAATACATAAGTAACATAATTCAGATTCATAAAAAATGTATACAGTGCCCTCTAGTGGATTTGTCATCTGAAACATGCAGCAAAACCTACCCGGAGCAACATATTTCATTTTTTCGAAAAAAAAAAAAAAAAAATGTAGGCTGAGGCACATATTTCCAGTGAGCCTGGCATGGCTGGACAATATAGTACATAAAGAAAACAAATGTTTTTCACAATACCTTTGCAGTTGATTAACATACTAGAGTCAAAGGTTTTTACTGAATAACTTCAAAATAACAGATATGAATAACACTGTGGTTTATGTGCTGCTGAAATGAAGATTTATGAATTAATTTTGAGAAAACAGCCTTTAGGTGGCCCGTTCCACTGTGATGACCTCTGAAATAGAGACTAAGGCCTCTATTTTGACAATCCATGCACAGTGCAGGGCGCAAACACTTTCAGGGCCAGAATCAGTGTCAGAATCCATTTTTGCTAATAAAAGGACGGAAAAATCCACTCTGTGCTGTAGCGCATAATCTAAAAGGGTTGAGTTTATTTTCTTAATGAGTTATAGGTGTGTTTTGAGAATAAACCAATCAGAGTCTCATCTCCCATTCCCTTTAAGAGCCAGTTGCATCACGCCATGGCACATTTGCTATTTAGAGGACATAAAGTAAGTGTAAGTGGAAAAACTACACATTTCACAAGCAAGAAGACAGTTAAACAGAGCATCCACAGTGCGAGAATTAGAGATAAATGATCTACTTTCACTTTCGCTCTCGTGGATATGGAAACCTGGTAACACTTTACAATAAGGTTTATTAGTTAATGCATTTACTAACATGAACTTATCATGAACAACACATGTACAGCATTTATTAATCATAATTGAACATTTACTAATGCATTATTAACATCCAAGTCTATGCTTGTTAACATTAATGCACCATGAGTTAACATGAACTAACAATGAACAACTGTATTTTCATTAACTAATGTTAACTAACATGAACAAATACAGTAGTAAATGTATTGTTCATTGTTTGTTCATGTTAGTAAATGCATTAATTAACATTAACTAATGAACCTTATTGTAAAGTGTGACCGGAAACCTTGTATGCACAGACATTAAATAGCCTATAAATAATTAATCTTGTTTGTTAAGAGCAAAGATTTGTTTCAAAACTATTTCTAAATTCAGTTCTAATTTCCAGCAAAGAAATAAATGAACAATAATAACGAAGTGTGCTCAAAATACTGAGTTATATCCTAATACACAGGCTATGCCCCATATACTCTGAAACCTGACAGGTGGGCAAATCTAAGCTTATTTTTAATAGAACAAATATAAGTGAAGTTTATTCATAAACTAATTTCGAGAGGATCACGTGCTTATGATTGACACGGCTGGCCCCGAGTCAAGCTAATGTACGAACCACCAATCAGACTACTCCTAACCAAGTATAAATAACCAAACACCTTACCTTTAGTCATCTTCGTCTTGAAGAATCCCCCCTTCCACCCCTTCGCCTCCTCTTTTGTCTACAGGGCAGCACGGCGGCCCAGTGGCTAGCACTGCAGCCTCACAGCAAAAAATGCCTCCTGTTCGGGCATCTACCCAAACGGTCAGCATTTTCGTGTGGAGTTCATGTTCTCCCCGTGCTTGCGTGGGTTTTCCCCGGGTCCTCCGGTTTCCTCCCACACTCCCAAAAACATGACACTTAAGTAAATTGACTAATCCAAGTTAGCACCAAATTTGATTCAATTCTGTCAGCAACGCATCACCTTACCAACCCTCACGCAGCAGGAGGGAGGGGGGTTCTCGAGATCTACCCGAGCTCAAACTCCCCTCTCGCCCTGCAACGGGAAGGAGCCCCGGGCTCGAGGCTCTCATGAGCTCGGGGCTCTCTCCCGGGACAGCATGCCAAACTAGCTTATTACCAATCATCAGCTAAGTGTGAACTCTTGAAATACGCATATAATAAATAATACTGCTAATAATAATAACATTATACAATAGCAAATTGAATGAACTGAAAAAGCCTCCCGAGATGAAGAAGGCATGGAGGCAGTGGTTTTTCATATTTATGTAGGCTAGAAAATAATATGTTTTGTAATATTTTAATCCTTTATATTTATATCCTTATTATATCCTATATATATATATATATATATATATATATATATATATATATATATATATATATATATATATATATATATATATATATATATATCCTTAATATTTTAATTATTTTTCACATGTAAAGATATTTGTGTATTGCTCTACATCTTGTGTGTATTAAGCAGTGCGTAAGCGAGGCGCACAACTAACTCGCTCTGCGCTGGACTTTAGACCGGCTTTGTTCTGGTCTAAAGAACAGACTATTATAGTTTCTCAAAATAGCAACGCGCCAAAACACGCCTACTTTTTTAGATCAGAACGCCTATGGCCACACATATGAGCGCAATTGCATTTGCTATTTAAACAGCATGGCGCAAAAGTCAAAATGACTGTTGTGCCGAGCTGATACTAGCAAACAACAATTGTGCCGTGCCTTGCGCCATATTGCACCAGGTGTATGACAGGGCCTTAAGTCGAAAGAAAATGAATGAATGATTGAATCAATGAATTAATGAATGAATGAATGAAAACAGCTTTTTAAAGCATGTTTTATAATTTAAATAAAGATATAATATGATAAAGAGCTATAAAATAAACACTTATTTATTATATTATATACATCTTATTTAAATGTTTCCTTTCTATTAGACCAAAAAGCCAAACATTTAGCACACACACATATAAAAACTGTTTTTGCTTGCAATCTTCCTTTTAAAATTGTTTGTATTGAACACATTTTGTTGTCAACATATTTCTAGACAAATTCTCTATAAAGATATATCACTTGTAAAATATATATTGGCCTTTTCTTCATAATATAATTTTACTGGTATACATGAACTCCTGTTGCCGATAAGCTTTTTTACTTGAAATTGAAAGTTTTATCAAGTAAAAGTAACCTATTTTATTTTGAAACAATTTCAGAGTAATACACAAATCCTAAAAGCAAAACTATCAAAAACACAAAATGTTTTCTCTTTTAGATTTGGTTTTTAATCAAATGCATTCATTCATTCCAGTGGATTATAACAGGCTCTTTTAAATGCTATGATATATAAATATGAAAATGACAGTGATATTTCTAAATAAAAATTCTCATCAGTATAAAGAAATGTATAGTTTGCCATGTAGTTTTACATATTTAGATATTGAATGTATTATAAGGTGTACAGGTATGTGTTTCATTTGCACTGTTTTATGGCTTGTTGCTATAATTGTCACATCGTGTCTTTTTTTACCCAGGGTCCTAACTCAATTCTGGTTGCCATGGTGATGCTTTTGAATATTGGATTGGCAATCATTTTTGTCCATTTCCTGACATGAAACACTACAATCTCAAGTAAGTATGTGTGCATGTGTGCATTCAAAAGTCTGCGATTGGTAAGAACCTTAAATAAATGCTGCTCATTTGAAGCAGTTCACATAAATTATCAATAGCAAAATATTTCTGTTATTTCTGTAATAAAAGTCTAATTCTAATATTATCATGTCATAGGAAGTCGTTTTGACATTTGACTTATAACCTGTACCAGTATCTATTTTCATGTTACTAGTAATTATTCATTAGATACTAGTGCTTATTCTTTAGATCAGAGATGCCTAAAGTAGGATCCGCAGGCCAAAGTTGGCCCATTGTAACCTTTGTGTTACCCCGAGGAGTGACAATGACAACTGAAGTTTTGGATCCACATGCAGATTTATTCGAAGTCAGGCAAGCAATGGTCAATACGGGTGCAAACAGGTGTTAAGAGGCAGTCCAGAATCGTAATCAGAAAACAGGCGAGAGGTCAGAAGGCAGGGGGCTAAACAGGAAAACTGGATAAACAAGGCTAAGATCATAACACAGGAAACAAGACCAGCATAACGCGTTGTAATGTCACCTTACAGATAAACAAGACTCGGCAATGTGAATAAGTGAGTGTGCTGTTTATATAGTGTGTGTGATCAGTCTCTGACAATCTTCAGGTGGTGCGAGTGTAATCAGTCTAGATGAGGAAGCATGTGTGAGTGTAAGCAGAGTGCATGTATGAAAATGTAGGCCAGAAATGGCAAATTTGTAGTCCATGGTTATTGTGAATGAGATCCAGCGATCTTATGGAATACGATCGCTGTGGTAATCGTGACACTTTGATTTGGACCACCATCCTATCTGAAAAGAGAGTGAGAATGAAGGAGAGAGTTTGGGGGTTTTTGCTAAGCAGAAAAAGCAAACCAAAATTAAATGTTTCAATTAAATGTTGCAAATGAATCTGAGTTTTTAAAATGTAAATACTAGATTACACATTGCGATATTTTTTTTATTCTGCGATATATATTTTAATATGAATACAAGTTCACTAAATGAGCTAAATAAATATTTGTAAAGAATGTATAATTTTAGATTGACTTGGAATATTCTGTATAAGAGTGCATAAACTGTAATAATCCACAAGCATAGATAAATTCAATAAAGAAATTTTTGAATACTGCATACTCTTCTTTTTTATATACAATTTCATAAAATTAGTTGTTATTCATTTTTTTAAGTTACAAACAGTCCAATTTTGTATGCCTAAATGCTTTTAAAACCCTTACACAGGCCTAAAAAAAACGCTTGCGAAATGATAAATTATAATCCAGACACACCATTGCATATACTTGGGATGTGACTATTGCGAATGATCACATTGCGATATCGATGCTGAAATGATTTATTGTGCAGCCCTAGTAAATGCTGTCACTCGACAAATAGGGGACTATGCAGAACATATCGGCGAGTAAATCAAGGCAAAAACTAGTGTAACTCAATTCTGTCATTATGAAATGTAAACAAAAAATATAATGTATTAGGTTTTAAGATTTAAAACTAATTTAAAACATTTGGGAACAAAAAAATGATAAAGTTTGGTCCTTAACAAAGATGAATTGTGTTTAATTATTTGTCAAATGAAGAATTGACAGTGTTACTTTAGATTTGATCATTGGATTTCTTTACCTCAATAATGTAATATTCCAGCAAAAACCATGAACAGAGTGTCCGCGGTGTCTTAAAAAGTATTATGAATTGAAAATTCATTTTCGAGAGGTTTAGGGCCCTTTAAAAGTATTAAAAAGTATTAAATGCTTTTGTACAAGATATTACATTTTGTATAATTTTGGATTCTACAATGTATAGTTGCTAACATTTGCCTGAATTATAATTGAATAATGGGGTCTTGTATAGTTTATGAAATGGGTAAAATTCTGCAGGTCTACAGGCGCTATTTAGCAATTTTTTATTCAGTATATAAATAATGTTTTAGTTATGATTAGTTTCTTACAATCAGTATTTAGTAAATATACTGTAATATGCATATGTCCTTACTGTAACATGTATTGAAAGAGTCTTATAAAAGGTCTTGAAAGTTACTGAATTTCACTCTCTGGTTGTCATTTTTGATATATATATTTGTGGATATTTTATGCAGTTGCACTCCCCTACAAAATCATCCCAATCGATTTAAAATTGAAAATTCCTCCCAAACAGTTTTATATTGTGAATTTATATTCATATCTCAATATATTTATCGCAGAAAAAAAAATTATCGCAATGTCCGTTTTTTTTTTCAATATCGTGCAGCCCCACTGCTTTGTAAATAAGTCACAATTCTAGTAAATGAATATTTGAGTGTTGATATAACCACTACTTTATATTTTTAGTTGTGTTTTCTGACATTTGGTAGAATGTATTTACCTCATTAACATTTTTGTATTCCTTATATAGTAGGATAAGTTGTGACAGCTAAATTACAACAACAAATAAGCACAAAATATTTCACAAAATGAGGTTGATTATGTCAACTGAAATAAATTAAAACTTAAAATAAAAGTGTAAAATTTAAACTGACATTTTTTTTTACTCCAGTTCAGATCTACTGTACCTCATCATGTAGTTTGTAATATTCATAATTTTCTAGTAAACAAGAGCTTATTTTTATTAAAATATGGTGATATTTGGATGAAGTTTACAAAAAAAGCCCTGTTTACACCTGATTTAAGATGCATTTTGACTAGCTAGATTATTATTGCTGATATAAATATTCCTGTTTAGACCAGTTTGTCTCTTTCATCCACTTTTGAACACTTTCCTGATTGCTCTGAGGGGATTATCATAAGGGCAGCTGTATGTCTGAGCTTTTGCAGATATTTGATCAAATATGGCTGAAAAAAGGTCACACAAGTTACAAAAAAAGGAAAGGAGAAGGGAAAATGAAATGGAGAGCAGCCGTGTACATTCTTACTCTGACAGACACAAAACTACACTGAACCTTGTAGATTTTTTTTGTTTGCCTTTAACATACTATGTCAGGCGTCTTTTAATTATTTCGCATTTACATATCTGTGAAAACAGCCAAAATTGGTGTCTGCATATGCCAGGCCTGTATTTGGTCCTGTCACCTTGTTAGTAAATAATATATGTAGGAAAGTGAAGACATACGCTCACCAGCCACCTTATTAGGTACACCTTACTATTACAGGGTTGGAACCCCTTTTTCCTTCAGAACTGCCTTAATCCTTCGTGGCATAGATCATGAGGAAATATTCCTCAGAGATTTTAGTCCATATTGACATGATAGCAACACTCAGTTGCTGCAGATTTGTCGGCTGCACATCCATGATGCGAATCTCCCGTTCCACCACATCCCAAAGTTGCTTTATTGGATTGAGATCTGGTGATTCAGGAGGCTATTTGAGTACAGTGAGTGAACTCATTGTCATGTTCAAGAAACTAGTCTGAGAGGATTTACGCTTTATGACATAATGCGTTATCCTGCTAGAAGTAGCTGTAAATTTTCTGTTTTTCGGACCATTCTCTGTAAACCCTAAAGATGGTTGTGCGTGAAAATCCAAATAGATTAGCAGTTTCTGAAATACTCTGGCACCAACAACCATGCCATGTTCAAAGTCACTTAAATCACCTTTCTTCCCCATTCTGATGCTCAGTTTGAACTGCAGCAGATCATCTTGACCATGTCTACATGCCTAAATGCATTGAGTTGCTGCGATGTGTTTGGCTGGTTGGAAATTTGCGTTAACGAGCAGTTGGACAGGTGTACCTAATAAAGTGGCCGTTGAGTGTAGGTGCCAATATCTATTTAGAATTTGCTGTGTTGCAAGATGTGTAATTGAGTTTCTGGTTTTGTTTGTAATGTGTAAATGTGCAATAGTGCAAAAAATGTGCTAACACACTTTTCTGATGAAGCGTTAGCAAACACGAGCAAAGACTCTACTATGTACTCGCTCATTGTTGTGTGTTTGCACTTGCGTTTAATCGACACCTCCCTAAACACATACATACATGTGATGTCATCGTTTTTACAGACTTTTGTTTTCAGGTGTTTAGACAACAATGGCGACATTTTCAAAAGCATTTCCTTTAAAACCTATTTTCAAATTTATGCGTATTCAGTCACAAAAAAACTGTTGTAGAACAGGAATAATACATAAAAGGTTTACAGTTGCATTAAAATATTACTGTGTAAACGTCGTTTAGAATAAAAACACTCTAAAATTTTAAGCTGAATCAAGTTAACTTTTCAAGTCACTTCAACTTACATCAGTTAAACAGACTTAAAACATCAAGTTGAAGTTTGCATTACTTAAAACATTAAGTTGATTAACCTATTAAAATAAGTTTGAGGAACATAAAAACATATGTTGTCATTACTTTTTGATCATATGATTTTTTACAGTGTGCCATTTTACTGCATTTCGGAAAAACAGTCTCCATTTACACTGTAAAAAAAATCTGTTAACAGTTTCTATATTTTACGATTCAAAAGTGTTTTTCATTTATGTATGATTGTGAAGTGCATTGTGAGAGTTTGATCTCTGCTCTGTCGACTTTGGTGTTGAAAATTCAACTCTACAGTCCAACAAATTGACTTTTATTTTAGTAATTTAAAATTTAAATAGATGTCTAAAAGACATCTAAACGTAGACAGCTTGACTAAAACAAGCAGTAGTCATTAATTTATATTTATTTGATGACTAGTCTAGTTTTGGCCTATTCTTAGACGTCTATTAGATTTTCACAGACATCCCAAATTTAGCTGTGTTTAACCATGGCGACTATGTTTAAACGTCTAATAGACATCTGTCAGACATCTTTTAAGAACATGGGAAGTCTGTAAAAAATCAGAACATATCCTGGCAGTTTATTACGAGGTTTTTCACCAAAATACACAACTTAAATGATATATCATTTTAAAGAGTTAAAATGTTCAGAAAAGTCACTTTAAAAGGGTTCAAAGTTGTTGGAGGAAAGATCAGGGATCAGTAATGCAATTCAAAAGCATAAATAAACAGGGGAAAATAAATAAATAGACTAACGCATGAATCACAAAATACATAAAACTGCAAATTTTACAGATATTTTTTTTTTTTTACAGTAGACACTATACAGCCTATAATGCATGACACTTGATATGAATGTGCCTATAAACAGCACCTTGGATGGCAAAGTTGGCAATGTCAACATTATTGTTGGCAAAAAAAAATGTAAGAATGAGGTCAGTAGGTGATATTTTGTAGTTTGAATGCATTCAACCACATGTGTGCTTATACACTGAAAGAACATTTCCATCAGGAAGTGGTTTAGAAATGGACTGAAAATACTTTTTATTTGATGACTGGAAATACTTCAGAGAAGCCTGTATTAAGTGTGTTCATCTGTGATCAGATCAACAAAAACACATTTTAATACTAAGTGTAAACAGAGCTCTAATCTACAAAAAGATATTTTACAGTCCAAAAAACAGCTGCAACGTAAAAATAAATTTGTTAATAAGCTTTTTTTTCCGGTTATGAATTGCATTATGCTAGGTGGCTAGGTGGTTAGCATTGTAGCTTTATAGCATAGGAATGTCTGCTCTGTTGTCTTTTGATGTTGAAAATTACACTATATATATAATTGAAATACATATATGTTGAAATCAAAACTATTAAACCCCCTTTAAATATTTTTTTCTTTTTTTAAAGCATGTCTAATAATATTTTTTTTCTTCTGGAGAAAATCATATTTGTTTTATTTTGGCTAGAATAAAAGCAGTTTTTAATTTTTTAGAAAACATTTTAAGGTCAAAATTATTAGCCTCTTTAAGCTATATTTTATTCCGATAGTCTACAGAACAAACCATCATTATACAATAACTTGCCTAATTACCCTAACCTGTCTAGTTAACCTAATTAAGCCTTTAAATATCACTTTAATCTGTATAGAAGTGTCTTGAAAAATATCTAGTAAAATATTATTTACTGTCATCATGGCTAAGAAAAAATAATTCAGTTATTAGAAATGAGTTATTAAAACTATTATGTTTAGAAATGTATTGAAGAAATCTCTCTGTTAAACAGAAATTGGGGGAAAAAATAAACAGGGGGGCTAATAATTCTGACTTCAACTAAACATTATATAAACTTTTTCAAGCTCAAACTTTGCTGAAGGAAAGATAATGCAATTCAAAAAGTCTCATAATGCAATTCAAAAACAAATAAATGGAGAAGAAACACATGAATCATAAAAGACAGAAAAATGTTCATTTACAGACAATTTGTACAGTGTATTAAACAGTCACAACTCCCCCTGTTGTATTCTCTTTTGAAGTACTGAAAGCATTAACCCTGTATTACATTTATTCTTCAGTGTTGGATGGAAACCCACACAGTTGTGTCAATGACCTTTCTGAAATCCAAACGGCAGCAGGCAGAGTCTCCAGAGGGTAGAGAAGCAGAAGAATCAACATCTGAAGAGTCTGAAACCCAGAGCATCATCCTCCACGTTGATGTCATGTAACTGGAAAAAAGAGAGAGAGAGAGAGAGAGAGAGCGACAGAGAGAGATGAAAATATTTCGGGGGGGAAGAAAATGACCATTAAAGTGGAAACCGAAGAAGGGAATGCAGTGTAACGTGACTCATATCTGCTGATGGAAAGCCTTAATATCAGCCACTCTCCATAGGTCTCGGGCTTCTGGCAGAGACTTAACTGGAAATGTTTGATGATGCACTTTTGCATGATGGACACGAGCAGCTGCCTTACTCATTTACCATCTGACGTGGGACTGGGAGATGTGCTCGCGGTGCCAGAGGAATGTGTCCAGAGGACTTTGCTGAAGCGGGACGGAGAAACCGAACGCTCTCACCAGCGCCACTCACCCGTCTTACACCCTCTACCGACCCATTTCTCTCATTCTGCTCCCTACTGTACTCATCACGGTTTGTTTTTTGTTTTCATGAATCCTTTATGTTTAAGAACCTCAATCGGAACTGTGTTTCAATTTAATATGAAGCTAAATCAATCCCACTCTTTATTTTTTCTTTGAGAGTATTTAAAATGAAATTTAAGATGGAATTAATATAATATTTATTAAAATGTGCAATATGATTTATTTTTCTAACTGCTCGCCAATCAGGGGTATTGTAGCTTTGTCCCATTTATTCTGGCTCTTTAAGGGAGGGGAAAAATTATTATTATTATTATTTAAGGCTTATTCACATCATGAATGAAAACTATTTTAGCATCCACATCAAACAAACCAATTCAAGAATATTATAATTGTATTTCTGTCGTTTGGCATTTTCAGAGCACAAGGTCTTTCATGATGGATTCTGATTGACTTTTTAAGTTCTTGTTATTCATCAGCTGGGAGTTTTGTCGCCTGCGACTTTAAATGAACCTGCTCTTAAACACAGAGTTCTGATTGGCTGTTTTTATCTTCCTAAAATATTCTGAAAGTAATTTCAACTATTTTCTGTTTCATATTAGCATCTTCACTAATACATAATATCATTGTTTACTATGAGTGCACGCTGTAGTTTTGTGGCCTGCCACTTCAAATTCCCAAACACTTTAAAACAAGATTTTGATTGGCTGTTAATATTTTTTTATTAAGTAATATTAAGTTGTGATGTGATTCTTTTAAAGTAGGAGACAATTTTAGAATGATACTGTTAGTTATAGTTATCATCATTGGTGTGAACAGGCATTTAAACCCGAGTATATTTTGGTTTTTTGTGTATGTTAGCATATGCAAACATCCAAAAGTTGCATGCGTTAAAAATGGCTTTCAAATAGAGCTCCAGGACCAGATCTAACCTGACCTCCCGTGTAATTCATACTAATTAAAATGCAATTATGACATATAACACTGGGAACACTGGGCTATAGAATTTTTGAAGGGATGTTGCATCCAAAAATCAACGCTAAAGTGGTGCTAAGCTTTTATTATTATTATTTTTTTATTTTATTTTTTTTTATTATTATTATTAAAGAATGTTGGGAAAAAACAGTCATAGACATGGATAGTAAGAACAAAAGTACTATTCCACTGAAGTCAATGGCTTTTTTTTCAACATTCTTCGGATCGGAACAAGTATAGGATGATTAAATGATGACCAGAGGCCACTTACTCCAAACGTCAAATTTTAGACCTGAATTTGCTTGGGAACTTGGGACAGTGAGGACCTTCAGTTGTGGTTATATTTTTTTTTTTGTTTTGTCTCAGCCCAGCTCTGTGCTTACAAGATTCGCACATGAATACCCGTAACAACTAAAGTACGGTGGATTTTAAGAGTTAAGGGCTGTTCAAGCAAGCAAGATATATATATATATATATATATATATATATATATATATATATATATATATATATATATATATATATATATAATGATAAAGACAATGTTCTTAAAAAGGTTCTGAATGTAACAGTTTGGTCCTGCTTTATTGGTAAAGATGTAGAGAAACTAAATCATTGGGATCACTTTCAGAATGATTTTCTCTTTCAGCCAATAAAGTAGAATACTGACAGTCGGTTGGAATTCGTTGAAATTTAAAGGGCTCGGACATATTAAAGTTACAGATGAAATTCTAGGGAAGTTGATGTTAAATCTTTTTTTCAAAGAGCATTTAAAAATAATAACAATTTTGGTTGTACAGTCAAAGTGGTAAAAATTGATGGAAACGATGTTAAGTACTGCAAGTTTTGACATTATTATATAGCTTCCTTTGTAAATGCTGGTGAAAATAATTTGTTTTTTTGTTTTTTTGCACTGCACTGACTGCAAACACTACTAAACCCCCTGTTTGATTGAATACACGAGCTGGATTACCTGGTTGCATGTGCTATAAATTCAGCAAACTGACTGGTTACAAGGTGTACTGCAAAAAGAAAAGCATAAACAGCATGTTAAGACCCTGATATACTTCAAACTAATATTAATATTTTATTAGATATTATAATATTATATATATTATATATTAATATATTATATATAACTAATATTATATTTTGTTCTTTGCTTCCGGCGAAAAAAGTTTAATAAGGCTGAGTGACGGTATGCTGTTTTCGAACACTCCAACACCTGCCATACAGTAAGTACCCAGCAGACACACAATGTCAAAAGACATTAATATTAGGTTAGATTTAGGTGGCCAGCATCTGAGGACAATGTTATTTTGACGTTCTATAAGGATGTGAAATAACATTGATATTTGGTTGATTTTAGGTTGTGTTGGAAAGTGAGCAAAATCAAATGCCGAGCTAACACCTTAAGCCAACGTCATACTGACATCAAATACTGACATTTATTAATCAAGTATGGCAACCAAAATCCAACATTTGATAAAAGTCATAATAGAAACATTCACACAAGGTTGATATTTTGTTATTTTCAAGTTGCGTTGGAAAATAACCAAAATGAAACGTCTGTTTGACAGTGGACATTGTTGTCGGCCTGACGTTGGGTTCTGACATCAACCCGATTTTCATTTCTTAACAAAATGCAACCTCCCTCGACGTTGGGGTACAATGCCAATCTGATGTCATGTTGATGTCCTGTGCCTGCTGGGTAGGTTTGTAAATGCATCATTCTGCTCCCATTCACCCCCTAAAACAGGGGTGTCCAAACTCGGTCCTGGAGGGCCAGTGTCCTAGAGAGTTTAGCTCCAACCCTAATCAAACATACCTGAACCAGCTAATCAAGCTCTTACTAAACATAGTAGAAACATTCGGGCAAGTGTGTTGAAGCAAGTTGGAGCTAAACTCAGCAGGACACTGGCCCTCCAGGACCGAGTTTGGACACCCCTGCACTAAACACAACAAACATTGGTGGCTGTGAGAAAACAGTTTCGTCAACATCTGGCAAACTCAGCATGCCACATCTTTACATTGTTTCTGATTTGTTGCATACACAACAAATGTGATGTACGCATACTCATAGAAAACAATGTTTAGAGCTATAAAAGAAATGGCACACTGCAGTGCCGCTTTTCATCCGCCATTTGTCTACTCGCAGAAAAAATATAAAAACTTTCAGTTAAAACTGTACAGGTGTAGATACATCTGTACAATCTCAGCTACTCTCCAGTGTATTCATGTTGCTAACTTGGTGTTGTGGCTTTAAATGTTGTTCTCCTGTCTCACCCTGTGAATATGAGATACGAATCAGTCGAATATCAAAGAAGGCAAAGTTCCAGAACACACCCACTTATTGTGTAATTGCGTTACCTCTTAGGAGCCAAAACAAACTCGCTCTAAACATTTGCTTCGGTGAGCTATTTTAAACTTAACTTCGTAACAAACAAACTTCATTTTGGCTTGATTTTGTTAGAAACAGCATAGTTTTCATTTCATTCTTTGAGTTTATTTGATGTTTATCAGGGCCTTTATTGTTTGTTGGTGTGAACACAAATAGTTACGGTTATATTTATAGTTATCGTCCTTCGTGTGAACAGCCCTCTATGATATGGGATACATGATTTCCCACTCTTCAGAAATCACATCCACTCCAAAAATTAAAAAATAAAAAATAAAAAAAAAAAACAATTGAAAGTCTTATAAAGCGTGTTATTTCTTGAATTGCGGGAGCTGTGTTTGTTGTGCATGCAGTGTTGTTGTGCCTCAGATGTCAGATTTTGACATGTGACGACGGCATGTTTGTGAGCTCGGATGCTTTGGATATCAGAAGTCAGGAAGAAGTAGTAGATTGCCTTGAAGAAGAGTCTTTAACTTCAGTTTACCTCAAAGCTAATCAAGGAAAAAGCCTCGAACCAGATGAAGTCTTTGTCTTAAATCTGTAGTATGCAAAAACTCTGACCGACTAAATCATTGGGAATCGATTTTTTTAAAAACGTGCCACTATAGTGTAAAAATTATATATATATTTTTTTCTTTCTTTCTTTTGGTACATCCTGAAATTTGACTCATATTTATGTGAATTCTCCCAGTTCGGAAGGTTTATTTATTATGGATAGCGTTCTAGATATTGTTTGGTGAGTGTACAAGGGCTTTGGGAAAAAAAAACAAAAAAAACTTGGTTTCTCTTCTTCAAACCCTCATTTGCTTTTAGTTTTTGTTTGCATGGGATCTTTAAATGCACTAATGCGTGTATATTTGATTCAACACAACTATTCGAAGGTAAAAATATGTTTAAGCAAAAAACCATGTACTGTTAAATGATGTGTTTTATTGGGTTGTGTTTGGATTCTGTGCAACAATGCGGTGCAATGTGTACGGGCTCTTTTTATATGTTTCCGGAAGGAGAGGTTTTGAGCTGGACAAGGAATTATTTTTCTAAAAACATGTTGCACAAACAGAAAGCATTTATATATGAGGTTTATTCTATTTCTAAGCATTTGTACTGAGCACAGCCATGACTACATGAAGTATTTTTCTATAGAAATGCACAGCTGTATTTTGACAAAAAGCAGTATATGGCTTCTTTATATCCAGCATTGTATCTCACGCATCATCACAGTTCAGACTTCACATCAAATATTTCTGATTCAGTGTGATTTGAGGATGCAGAAATGCTTTTATGAACCTTCAATGCAAAAAAAAAAAAAAAGATTTACAAAAAAAAATCTGTCACGTTTTGAGCCCACAGAGCCCCATGTATTTCTGTAATTTAAAGAGTTATAATATTTATCTGTAAAATAAAATGTTATGCCTTGTAAATCTGCTTTTTCTTTGATTTTTTTGTTGT